GGTGTAGCTTTGTTGCAGCGTCCTCTGTCCTCCGGCGCTGGGCCCAGTAAGCCGCTCAAGGTAATTTGACTGACTTCTGATTTGGCAGTGGGAAAGTTGAGCCGAGCTCGCGTGCTTCCCGCGCCTTGGGAAGCCTGGGTGGACGCGTGAGGTGACTTGCTTGCCGTGTGTTTGTGTTGTTTAAAAGATGTGGAACAATTCTGGTTATAAATCTTAGGTGAAGGAAATACTTGATTAAAAATGAGTTTGATTGTGGTGCCACTGCCTGCCTCGAAAGCGCAAGGCCCCGAGTTCTATCCCCAGTACGGGGGGGGGGGGGGGTTATGCCAAAGGATGTATGTATTCAGCATTTGTGTGTGAATTTGTTGATACTATATGTCAGAATTTGGAGTATCTGTTTTTTAATGTTTATATTCTCACAGTCTAAGGTGTTGACAGGTAAAAATAGTGAAACAGTGCCTTCTGTACCCAGGTGTCAGGGCCGTTTATGATGAAATCCTTTATATACTTTTGGTGCTTAAGAGACAAGGGGTCAGTGATTGTGTTTTACTTTTATATCCCTAGCACCTTTTAAGTACCACACAACACTCGCTAAATGCTGAATAAAAACCTGGTAAACATAGTTAAAAACTTTTTTTTTTAACCTGAAGACTTTCTAAAAAAGTGTATGAATCAGAACTTCATTGACTTGAAGGGAAACTTAAAATGGGCATTTAAAGTTTGATGGTGGTAGCTTTTTAAAAAATATAAGTATTTTTCCCCTTTATTTCAGAAAACGAAAATCTGTTTTGGGAGAATACATATTTTTAACTTATTTAATAAAAGTAAAAATTTTATTGTCAACTGCTTTGACTGTTAATATTTCATATATTTGATATTTTATATGTTGCTGTCTTCAAAATGCCTTGTTAAATTTATGGCTGTGTGCTATTACTTTTGGAGATAATACAAGTTATTTACATAAAACTCTTTCCAATGTATCATGTTTAAATATATAATTGTTTTTGTATCATTTGACATTAGTGATGACCTTTTATTTTACAACTCCTTTATCTTATGTTGCTCTTTTGGTGGCTTATGTCACATGTCAACAAATCAACTAGTGATATACTATATGTAACTTTTAGACATCTTTAATTCTGCAAAGCATCTTAATTCTGTGTAGATAAACAGATGTGTAGAGAACATTTAAAGCCCCTCGAACTGGGTATGAAAAGGGGCAAATGGATGGGCAAAGAATAGTTTTGGTTGACGTATCATAGTTTTTAATTTTTTAAATTAAAGATCACCTATATGGTATGATTTCTATACCAGAGAGATGCTTACTTTCATATAAGAGAAATAGCTCTCTTATTTGTCCTGAAAATTGTAGTGTTTTTTTAGTCAGACTTGATGGCACATGCCTATAATCCCAGCACCTTGGAGGCTGAAGGGGGAGGATAGCCACTCTGAGGTTAGTCTGGGCTACAGTAGTGAGATCCTGTCTCAAAAAAAAAAAAGTTTTAAAAATGTATATTATTTTATTAAAAGCAAATTGTATTTTTATTGACATAGTTCAAATGTACAGGAAAGAGCACCCACCCATTCTTACCATGCAGATTTAATTAATATATATGATTCTTACTTTCTTCAGATCTCTGTGTGCGTGTATTTATGTTGTTTTTTAAAATTTGCTATGCTATGGATGGAACTTGGATGCTCTACCAAGTGTTCTGCACTGAGCTACACCCCAGCTTTCTTGTTTGTGTCTTTATATTTTTAACATGTATGTTTTCAGAGCCCTATAAAATACTGTTTCATCTGTTTGGCTGCCAGTATGCAGATGGCTAGGTGGTTCCTTCCCTCCTGGAATTCATTCCGGTGTGCAGCTGTCTCCCAAACTGAAGAGTGCCGACTGTGTAACCATTAGAATTTTGAAGAAACGTGATGCGTGATTTCTTAGGCCATTTTTTTTTTGTTTTGTTTTTTTGAGACAGGGTCTCACTATGTAGTTGAGACTGACCTGGAACTCACTATGTAGCCCAGGCTGGTCTTGAACTCACAGCGATCCTCCTGCCTCAGCCTCCCAAATGCTGGGATTACAGGCGTGTGCCACTGCGCCTGTCTCTTAGGCCATATTCTTAAACCATTTCTGTTTTATCTTTCCAAATCATTTTTCAGATACGTAGTTTGAATATTAATGATATGTTACATATATTTCAGTTGTCTTTCATAGTGTGGTTTATCTTTGTATTTTTATTATGGAATCTCCTTGAATAAAGGTTTGTATTTATTTACTTGGTACTGGGGATTGAACTCAGGTCCTTGCACTTGTGAGGCAGGCAGTGGCACTACTGAGCTAAATCCCCAGCCCCAAAGGTTTTTATTTTTAATTTACTCTTACCAGTCTCACAATGGGTTGTACTTTCTTGAATTTGTATAGGAAATCATGAAAGTACATCCTATTTGTCCTTCCAAAAATTTAAAATATTTTTTTAACATCTATGTGTTTAATCCAATTGAAATTTGTTTTTTTCTTTATTATTTTAGGATCTTGCTTTTTTTTTTTTTGCATTTGTGTAGCTCTTCCTCCAAGTACTATTGTTTCTAATGCAGTGCCTGTCATTCACTTACCTTCTAAGTGTCAAGTTCTGAGCTCTCTGTAGTCTTTTGATATATTGGTGTAACTGCATGATAAGATCAAGACCCCTTGTAAGTTTTCCATATTGTCTGTCCATCCCCTTAGCAGTAAAGAATTCTGCCTGATAGTCTTTCAACTGAGAATGGCTCTTCCTGGTTCTTTAGCAACCAGCCAGCCTCTAGACTTGAACTGGCAGTTTTAGAATTACCAGCCACCATAATCACATGATCTAATTCCTTGCATTCTCTCTCCCCCAATATATGTGTGTTTATATATGGATCTGTGTTTCTGTGGAGAACTCAGTAATGTGTTATCCACAAATAATATACTAGTATACATGTAACATTTGGTTTTTCACTCTGAGGTTACTTTTTAAAGACAACTCTAAAAAATCTTTAACGATCACCTGATTGAATGTCATCACCTTCTCAGCTGCTGCCCCTTCCTCTAATAATCTCAATCTTTCTAGCTTTATGTGTCTATTTTAGATATGTCACATATTCAGAACTATACAGCATTTTATTACATTTTCATGTAGAATGTTTCAGAATTTAATTTCTTTTAATACTATTCCTATATATATATATATATATATATATATATATATCATTAGAGCACTTGGGTTTTTTTCTTCTTCTTTTGGCTATTGTGAATAATGCTTAAACCTTTGCATAAAAGTATGTTTAAGTCCTGTTTTCAGTTCTTTGGGGTTTATATCTAGGAGTGAAATTGTTGGGTGATCCAGAATGTCTCCCAAAAGTCTCGTGTGCTAGAGTGAAGCCTTTGGATGATGGTTGCATCATGGGGGCACTGTACTAATTAGTGGATGAATTCATTGATGAATTCAGAGCTTAATGTGTTAGCAGGCAGTGAGGCCAGGTCAGAGGGATCCTAACCTAGAAGGGTGTGCTCTTGTCCCAGGCGCTTCCACTTCTTTCTCTGCTTCCTGGCTGCCATGGATTGAGCAGCTTTCTTCTGCCAATCCTTCTACTATGCTGATTCTGCCTTGGAGCCAGCTGACTGTGACTAAACCCTCTGACACCATGCGTCCAAAATAAACCTCTCCTTTAAGTTTTGAGTGTCAGATATTTTGTCTCAGTGACAGGAGAGTGACGAATACACTGGGTCATATGGTAATTATATTTTTAAAGTTTTTTGAAGGACTGTTAAACTTCCATGTGGCTTCACCATTTTTCATCTCCATTAGCTCTGTATGGTATAGGGGTTTTAAATTCTACACATCTCCAACATTTATTTCTTGATAATCCCTCTGCCAAATGAGAATTTTTTCATGTTGTGGTTTTAATTTAGATTTCAGGAATGACTGGTTATGTGGGACACGTCTTTATGTGCTTATTGGCCATTTTTATAGCTTCTTTGAAGAAATGTTCATTCAAGAGTTTTGCTTAAGAAATTTTGTGGTTGAGTTTTAAGAGTGCTTTGTGTATTCTGGATATAAGCCCTTTTTAGAGATATGATTTGCATTATTTCTTATATCCTTACTTTCTTGATAAGCTCCTTTGATACACAGAAGTGAATTTAGAAGAAATTTAATTTATTTTTCCTTCTTTTGCTCATATTTTGTTGCCAGATCTGTGAATTAGTTGGAAATCCGTAGTGTTGAAGATTTACCATTATGTTTTCTTCTAAATTTTATATTTTGGTTCTTAATATTTAATTTGCTGATTTAAGTTGATTTTTGTTTTTAGGGTGATATTTGGGTCCATTTTTGTATGTGGCTGTTCAGGTGTCCCAGCATCATTTGTTGAAAACACCACTCTTTATCCTTTGGTCTTGGCACCCTTGCTAAAAATCGATGGACTGAAAACATGAGTTTATATTTTTGGACTCGGTGCTCTGTCATTGATCTAAACATTTATCTTTATTCTCTCTTTTCTGGGCTTACTCCTTTGCAATACCTCTGCTCTGCTAATTCCATAGGATGGTGCAAAGCGAAGAGAAACTTGAGCAAGAAGTGACAGATAAGTGCTGTTTTGGGCTACATAGCAAAACATTGTTTGTTCCTAATAAAAAATATGTTGTATTGGTTTTCAAGTGTATGGAGACTTGAAGAGATAAGAATTCTTAAAACAGAATATTTGTATTTTGCAAACATGTTTTCTTTGATATGCATGCCATATGAAATTTAGAAGCAGTAGATGAACTCTGTCCAGTCTTTGGTAGTTAACAACTTACAGATGGAAAACATTCTTACTGCCTACTCCCAGCAATCCTCTGTAATGAAATTTGCATAGTGGGTGCTCCATAAACGTATGATAGAAGAATGAAGTAATCTCTCTGTAGTAGATTTCTCTAAATTTCCTATACAAAATATATACTTCTATATACACATTATGATTATAATTATTTTCTTTTATATAAGCTTTAACCACTTTTTTCTTTATGTCCCTGTTAGCTAATTTGTCTTAGCCATTATTAATGGTTGTATTAATTTAGTAATTTTATGGTATTTGTTTCATGTCCGGACATCCCACGTGGAGTACCCCATAGTATACTCTGTGACAAAATGGGCCTTTTTGTCAGCTATGAATAGGAATTGAGTCAAGTGGATTGAGAAATCAGTGACATTTCACAGGGGTCTGTGAAAGCAGCTGGCTTCATGGCCTCGGGCAGCATCTCCTGGAGAGGCCACATCTCCACCCAGATGAAGGATGGAGAGTATGTTTTCTGACTTCCTTTGCTGTCAATAGACCTTCTTTGTCTGTAGTTGTACCAAAACTGGTGGATTGTTTCTTTGAACGGTCTTGTGGTCAGAGTATAAAGAATTGGGTTCAAAGCACTGTTGATAGGCAGAATAAAAATCACTACCCAAGAAGTTATTGTACCTGGAAGAGAAAAATGAAATAATTTGTGTATATAGATGTTTACAAAGACAGAAACCCCTTTCCTGTGTCTTCCACCCCTGACTGCGAATTGACTCTTAATATTTTCTTTGATGTCATATAATTAATACCAACTCTACATTTTTCCAGGGTGTCTTTTCAGAGAGCCAGGATTTGGGGGGGAGTACAGTTCTGTAAAAGAAGAGGATTCTTGGCTAAAGTAGTTTCTCCTGACTACATCCACAGAAGTGTTCCATTAGGTAGAAATGTTTCCCACAAAGTAATGACATAGTATTATGTTTCCAACTTAGGAAACGCACATTGTTTAGTGTTTAAATCGTGACTTTTTCAAATGTGTTAACCAGTAGATGGTACATACAGTATTTCTCAGAATATGTAGGCTTATTTTTAATGGGTTTTTCCCCTGCTGTTTAATTTTAAAAATAGGTATGCATTTTAAGATTTTGGTCCAGTATTTATTTCACTGAAAACTTTTTTGGCTAAACTCAATTAAAATCATCTTAGGGGCTGGAGTATAGCTCAGACATAGAACCCTTGCTTAGTAGGCATGTTCCATACAGTGATAGTAACACATGTACATGATCTTAATTTTATATATGTATTTTAAAAATGTGAATATATACATATTAACAGTACATTTGCATATTTTTTATTGTAGTAAAACATGCATAACATTTACCACTTTAACTTCCTCATTTTTGTTGTAGGAAGTTGAACTTGAGGCTTTGCATATGCTAGGCAAATACTCTACCTTGTAGCCACATACCCAGCTTCCCATTTTAGCCATTTTTTAGTGTACAGTTTAGTAGTGTTAAGTACACTCATGATGTTGTACAGACATCATTTCAGTCCATCTCCAGAACTTTTCATCTTCCGAAAGTGAAATTATACCCATTAAACAGTGGTTCCCTATTTTCCCCTGCCCCAGCCCCTAACAACTATCATTCTGTGTTCTATTAGTTGACTAGTCCAGGAATTTCCTAGAAGAGGAATCATAAAACCTTTTCCCTTTTGTGCCTGACTTATTTCATTTAACATAATGTCCTCAAGACTCACCTATATTGTAGCATGTGTCAGAATGTTTTGCTTTTATAAGGCTGGATAGCATGTGTGCATATACTATATTGAATTCAATCAATCAATTAATTAACTAATTAATTTTTGGTACCAGGGGTTGAACTTGGGACCTTGTGCTTGTGAGGCAGGTGGCAGCACCACTGAGCTAAATCCTGGGCCCCTATATTTTATTTATTCATTCTTTCATCTATGGACACTAGTATTGCCTCTACCTCTAACTGTTGTGAAAATGCTATTATAAACATGGGTGTAAAAGATCTACTTGGGTTGCTGCTTTCAAATTCTTTGGTTATGTATCCAGAAGTAGAATTGCTGGGTTGTGTTCTATGTTTCCTCACCATCACTCCATTTTCCACAGCAGCTACACCATTTTATATTCACAGCAGCAATGCACAGATGTTCCAGTTTCCCATGTGTTTGCTGATACTTCATTTCCTGCATGAGGAGATGTGTGGCTTAGGTTTTGAAACAGGGTCTGTCTGTAGTTCCAACTCACAATCCTGCCTCAGCTTCCTGAGTGCTGGGATAATAAGTGTGTGTCACCACAGTAGGTATCTGTGTAAGACACTAACCACCCTACTGGATGTGATACAAATTATTTTTACATAAGTTCTTTCTTCTGTTATCTCATACTCTGGTGTAAGGTTTTCTAACTTGAATATATTCCATGTAGAAAAACTTCTTACTTTGATAAAAGTGTTTATTTGATCATTTTGCCTCAGTCTCTATTCTGATCATCTTAAGGATACACTTAATTTCAGCACTGCATACCACTTATTTTAGTTATTGCTCTTTTATTCCAGCAGTAATTGTATGATTAAGCATTTATACAAAGAACCAAACAACTTCCTGTCAGTAAACTTTTATTGAGCAGAGAGAGCCTAAATTCCATGTAACTCGGACTTACAATTTTGAAACTAGTTAGTGTTAAGAATCTTAATTATGTTTCTTAGAAGAGTACTGTGCAAGCAGATTCTTTACAGAAAGAAACAAAAGTTGTACCTGGTATTTCTACCTGAAGCAGTGAAAGAAATTTTAGTACAAAAATGGGTATCCAGCATAGTGCATCGGTAAATACAATAAAGAAAAACCGCTTGGCAAGGATCATCTCCTTTTTAACCTGATTCCGTATTTCAGTTGCTGTCCCAGTGCTTCCATGAACACTGTAAAACATGCTTCCATAGGAAAATACAATGATGACAAATGCTGCCAGGTTAACACCTGTTTAGAACAGAAGAGACGATAATGTTTATAAACGTTCTTTCAAGACAAGCAAATAAGTAGAACACGCATTTGTGTGTTATTATTAAAGATACAAATCCATACTACGTATTTATCATATTCCACAAAGAATTCTGAAGTTGTGTAAAAATGATTTGTTTTTGGAGATGCTGGGGGTGTATAGGTCAAGTGCTCTACCCCTGAGCTACATACCCTAACACATCATGAGTTCTTTTGAGTTGAAGTATTATTGAAATAATAAAGAATGATGTGATGTTAAATTTTAAGTTGAATATTAAAATTATGGTAAGTCACAAAATACTCTGGCCTTGGTGCTTTCTAGTATTAATGATTTTTAAAATAATTTAATTATTTTATATTGCATTTTGAGAATATCTTTATATTATTGGTTTAGAATAGTATATTGTACTCCTGTATGAAAGATATATGCAGCTACACCCATGGATTTGAAAAGATAATACTTTATGAATATTTTTATATTGTTTTTGAATTATGCTCATATTTTATTGGGAAGCCAAAGCATATTTTGCTTATTATTATTAGTGTTGACTCATGAAATATAAGTGATCACTTTGTAATTGAGTTTATCATGTTGACATTTATATGATAAAGCAGTGATTTAGAGGAAAATGCCCATGGGGGATTCTGATAGAATTCCATACTCTCTCAGTGAGACAAAATGGATAAAAGATTTGAAATAAAAATTTGTAAACACTAGAAGCCATAATGAGTTCTATATTATATGTTATCCCAGCATTTTAATAAAAGGGTTTGTAATACAAAATTTCTTACCAAGAAAAATTGCCACTGAATATATCTGGGCTCCAGTACTTTCTGTATCTTCTGAATGAAGGGGGAAACATACTCCGTTGGTACCATAGTAGTTTTTGAAAAATTCCTTATTGCTCAGTGGAATAAAAGCTACAACAAACCCAACAATCCAAATGAGAATCAGAATTATAATTGTTCTGCATTTTTGAGGTCTTAAACACCTAAAAGGATACACAATGCAGATGTATTTTTCCAAAGTTAGAAATGTCAAAAGTAGAACAGACACTTCTGTGGACAGAATGGCCAAAGAGCCCATGAGCTGACAATTCGTACTCTCCACCCACAGCTGTGCATGCTTATTGTATTCTCCACGGAATTTGAGGTCCAAGGCTCCGATGACAAATAAGTACACTCCCATGAGGCAGTCGGCACCTACAGGGGCCAGAAAATATCACAAATTCAGAGAAATGAATAGGCATGATGAAATTATCAATAATAGAATTTTTAATATTGAAAAAAATGGCCTACTTTCTTTCCCCTTGGGAGGAAATAATTTTTATTCTTCTAAGAGTTAGTGGGCTGGCGATGTAATGTAGCTCAGTGATAGAAAGTTTGTGTTGCATGCATGAGGCCCTGGAATTGTTCCTCAGGACCACCCCCCCCAAACATCCACCAAAATGAACCATAAAAAACAAACCCTCACTTAAGAGGAGGACCTATTCATTCACCCTTTTTGGTTAGCAGTCTCAACACCTTCTAAAGTTAATTACACAATCACTTCTCTGTTTTCCTTTGAAATGGAAGTCTTTAAGTCTATGAGAGCAGATGTCTTGTCTCTTTTGTTCTCCATTCTGTCATGGAGAGGTGTGGAATAAATATATAAAATCTAGTTATGTTGAACATTCAGTTAGGGACCCAGATGGAGGTGGTGTTTGGCTCAGCTCTTCCACTGAAATTCTTCCTGCTCAGCAAGTGAAGGTTGTCATCCTGAAACTGCCATGCAGAACTGTACTTTCTAATTCTGTCTTCTCATTTTTACATACTGCTCTATTTTTACTCTATTCCATCCCCCGGTTAGTCTCAGTGTGTACCCTACTTGTTTTTTTAAAAATATTTTAAGCCAAAATTTCTATCAGATAGGTTGAGATGTTTTGGCTGTGCAAACATTCTATAGGATGTCCCTAAAATCATTTGTCTGACCCAATTCTAACACTGAAGTTATACGCTAGTTTTCATTAGAGAAATTGAACTTAACTTGAAATTTTGTAACAGTACAAAGTGTTAAACATCTCAGTACTACTTTTTTTTATATAGCTTATAATGAAAAGAATAATTAGATGTCAGACTTGGAGCATGGTTGCAAGTAGGACATGTAATACCACACAAAAAGAGGCAACATCTGGGCCTGGAATGGGCTGTGTTCAATCCTCCCATCCCTCAAAAGAATAAACATCCTGTAGACTGATACTTTACTTGCTTGAGAGACTACAGATAAGTTCTAGGCCGTGTGACCCAGACTGTAAACATTCATAAGATGGGTTTCTTGCTTATTTATCCTTCTACTCTTATTTAACATAATCTCTCACAACCACATTTCAAACACTTTAAAAAAATTAGTAGTACCTGAAAATACTTTCTTATTGCAAGTTATGAATGGATAGGATTCTAGCAGCTCAGAAACTAGAAAAATAACTAGTTGCTAAGTCAGTATTTTTGAACTGGACATGCAAAGAAAGAGGTAAATATGGTTTCTGGATGTAAAAATGGGACCATAGAAGGTTGTAGCTTTATTTTGTGGTAAAAGATTTTGGACGCTTTAACAAATTATACCTCACAGCTACTTTACAAGAGAAAACAAGGATATGAGAGCTTCATTAATCTGTGTAAGGTGATTGAATTTTTTTAATTTTTAAAATTTATTTGGTTTGTGTGCTGTATTTGTTTGAGACAGACTCTCATTGTGTAGCCCAGGATGGTCTCAAACTTGAAATCTTCCTGCCTCAGTCTCCCAGGAGGGCATATGCCACTATACCTGGCTAATTTAATTTCTTATCACTAAAGTAATTTTATTTTTTGTAGAAAATATGAAAACATACAGTACAACCTTGGATTGAGAGTAACTTGTTCTGTGAGTGTTCCACAGGGCGAGCAAACATTTTTAATTATATCATGATAAACATTGTCTTGCAGTAAGAGTTGTATGTGACAGTGTCATATGATCATAGCTGAGCTAATGGTTCCTCCCTCTCTCTTTCTCTGCCCTCTCTCCCTCTCCCACACCCTCTCCCTCTGCACTCTTTCCCTTTCCCTCTCTCTGTGGGATTGGGGTTGATCATTTCCCAACAGCAAGAAGTTATGAAGGAGATCTCATCTTCAGAGGAAGAAAAAAAAGGTGGAGGAATCTCTCACTTCAAAGGAGATTAGGGAGATGTGTAAAATATGGGAAACTGTAAAATTCTGTAGAAAAGCACCATTGGAATAAAGTTGTAACAGTGCATATGATGATTGTTTAACCATAATGCAGTGTGAAATCCATGAAAGGAGACAAAAGCAAGTGTTATTGGAGAGATCATTAAAGTTGCACAAAATGGAAAAGATTCCATTGAGATGATAGTAATGATTCCCTTAGTGATAGTGAAACTCATTCTACACAATTACCCTCCTCTCTCTTGTCTCCCTCACACCAGCCACGAAGGTGTTCAAAAGTAAGCACTGATTAATTTATTTTTCTTTGTATTTTGTATTACAGTATTATAATCATTTTTATACGAATATTTTTGGGTTGTGGAATGAGTTATCTGAGTTTCATTATTTCTTATGGGAAAATTTGCTTTAATATGTGAGTGATTTGGATTAAAAGCATGTCTCTCAAACAAATTATGCTTACAAATATACAGCTATGCTTCTGAATATTTCAAAACTGGAGTTCCTCTTTAGACAGGAATACTCACAGCAGAGAGAAATGATTGATATGGCATGCAGCTTGTTCTCAGACCTGATATAAGGTCTCATGCAGATGACAAAAATGTTTCCAAAGCAGGTGACCACAGATACGACCCAGACAAACACTCTCTGAATGACGCTGGCCAGAAGATTCTCAAGAGAAGAAAGCCCATCAGTGTTGGGTTTACAGCTGCGAACATGTGGTGCATAGCCACAGTACTGGAATTTCTTAAAATATCTGGTATACAAAAAGATAAAGAATTTAAATTTTAAGTGACATCACAATCCCTGATGAAATTATTCTACAGAGTACTGTGCTAAAAACACATGGTAGTGTCAAAAAAACCGATCTGTAGATAAAAGGAACAGATTAGAAGATGCAGAAGCAACTCAGAACACACTTAGCCACCTTATCTTTGACAGAGGGGCCAAATGCCTTCACTGGAAGAAAGATAGCCTCTTTAATAAGTGGTACTGGAAAAACTGGCTGTGTGCATCCCCAAAACTAAAACTAGACCCATCTCTCTTACCATGCACTAAACTAAAATGAAAATGACCTAAAGATCTAAATATTAAAACAAACAAAATCTGCTGGAGGAGAAAATATGTAGAAGTCTTGAAGATGTGTAGACAACAACTATTTATGAACAAACTACAATTGCACGGAAAATATTACACAGAACAAACAGCTGGGATCTTGTCTTCTTTAAAAGCTTTGGCACAGCAAAAGAAATCACCAACAGAATTTGAAAAAAATTTTGCTAGCAGTTTCTCAGATAAAAGGCTAATATCTAGAATATAAAAAGCTACCCCCAAGTTTAAAGACCTAATCCAAAAATGGGATTAATACACACCTCTCAGATGAAGTACAAATGGCAAGTATATGAAAAAATTGTCATTCAGGAGATGCAAATTAAAACAAAGATTCCGTCACGCCAGAAAGAATGGCTATTATCAAGAGATCAGCCAATAACAAATGCTGGTGAGGCTGTGGTAAAAAAGAAACACTTCTTCACTGTTGGTGAGTGGTAGACTTGTGCAACCACTTTGGAAATCAGTGTGGATATTCCTCAAAAAACTGGGACTAAACTTTTCATTTGACCCAGCTATTCTTCTTGGGATCTTCCCAAAAGAATTAAAAGAATAATACCACGGCAATATATGCACATCCATGTTTATAACAGCACAGTTTGTAATAGTTAAATCTTGGAAACAGCTCAGATGCTCATTGACTGAGGCATATACAGTGGAGTACTACTCAGCCACAAGGAAGGATAAACTGGAGACATTTCTAGGTAAATGGATGCACCTTGACACCATACTCTTAGATGATAAATCGGGCACACGTGTAAACCACATTGTTTCTCTGGTGTGAGAAACTGAAAGTTTAAAAAGGACCAAAATGTATAATAGATAATGTGAAATAGGAAGAAAATATTCAAGTGGGAAGGGGCGCTGAGAAGGGGAGGAGGGGGAAAGGAAGGAAGGGAAATTGGAAAAATGAGAAAAAGATAAAATGGAAGCAAAACCTTTGTAAATGAGGAAAGAAGGGATGAAGGGAGGGGAGTGGAATGGGAAAAAATAAGACTTAAGATATATCATGTACAGGTAACAAATTCCATAAGATGAATGGGATCATTATGTATATCTGAATTATACTAATAAACTCAATAAGAAATAAATGAATTCATTGGCACCATACAATAATCTTTATTTTTGGCATTTTTCTTGGAAGAAAGATGTCTTAATATGAGGTTCAAAGGAATGCAACATAGTAGACATCCTGCAGTTTTAAACTTTTAATTCGCATAAACTTGATTTAATTTTAAAAGAATGTGTGGATAAGAGTAGCAAATAAGCATGGTGAAAATATGTGTAGGCCCCATCTGACAGCTTAAATAAACTGTTTATTTGTAAAAGGAAAAGGAGTTTAAAGAAACTCTTAGGTTAATGATCCGAATTCAGTTATCTATAAATGCAATATGACACAGCTCCTGGGGAAAGAGTGTTGGTAACTGTTTTGCTTTATTTTATGTGTCTTAGGCTGAAGTTTTGCTGGGTGAACAGACTGATGGGAGCTCTGTTTTCTAGTTTTACTGCCACCCATCCAGTCACCCTGCTAGTGACAGTGTGGAGGTTTTTTCTTTGAGGGAACACCTTCACCCCATGTCTGATTTATTTCACTTAGCATTATGGTCTCAAGGTGCGTGAATTTTCCTACAAATGACCCAAATTTATCTTCCTTTATGGCTGAGTTATACTCCCTTTTGTAATACACCACATTTTCCTTTTATTCTTATTACAAACTCAGCAAACCTCATGTGGTGGAACATTTGTATAATCCCCCCAACACTCTAGGAGGCTGAGTCAGGAGGTTGGAAAAGTACAGTCTATCATGAGCAACTTAGTGACTTAGACCTTGTCTCAAAGAATGGGGGTAGGGTGGGATAAGGTTGTAGAGTGGTGTGAATACCCTGAGTTCATTCTTTGCAGGGGGAAAAAAGGATGGGTTCTCTCTACACTAATGTTTCCTGATATTCAAAAATTCTGTGAAATTCTACCAGAATGTGGAAAACTGAAAACTGCCCATGTCACAGCTTTAAGGGTTGTACTGAGTTTGTTTGGACTGCTGGAAGAAAAATACCACAGTCTCATGACTTAAGCAACACACATTTAGTTCTCACAGATCTGGAGACTGGAGCTCAAGACAACAGTGCCAGCAGATTTGGCTTGTGCCGAGGTCCTGCTGTCTGGTTTGTAGTTGATGGCCATGCTCTTGCCATATCCTCCTGTGGTTGAGGGGCAGAGTGAGTCCCTAGGGTCTCTCTTAAGGGTGTGAATCCTATTCATAAAGGCCCTGCCCTCATGAGCTCATCACCTCATAATACTATTGCCTTGGTTACTGGTGCATGCACATAAGCAGTGTGTAGCATGTAGGTTGGTAGGAAATATGGATAGATTAAATGGATAGGGTATGGGTGTCTTGTCACAATACATGTGGAAATGAACATATTAAAAGCAAGGTAAAGATTGAAAACATCTACTTACATGTGAGAGAGATTCACAAGAGGGTTAAACATCCTTTGTTGGATATTCAAAATTTCAATTCCTTCTAGGCTGCTAAAATACCAAATTTTAATAATCAGTCAAAATAACATGTTATACAAGGTATAATAAAAGGAGTTTCCGTGAAGGAAAATTTAATAAAATGCTTTTACATCACTCTTATTCTAAGTGGACTATTCATCGGCCTAGGCCTTCTCCCACTCCTCTTTGCTTGTGTGACTTGAGAACATATTTCTCCCCTATTTGAGTTTTTGGCTCCTCATATCATGGCACAAAGCACAGTGCAAAGCACAAACTACTCAAACATTTCTGGAGCAGATAAATGAGCATGATCTCTGATCCACATTACAATGTTTCACACTGTGAAATTGCTCTAATAATTTAAAGTACATTGTTTCTTATGAAATGCCAGGTTACTGAAAGAACACTGAAATTAGATGAACCAAAGATTATCTTTTTAAGGCGATTCTTAGACTGCTAGGATTTCTATCTTAGAAGTCGTAATCTAGCATGTTACACCTTTTTTTGTTTTTTATTGTTTTGGTTTTTTGAGACAGGGTCTCACTATGTAGTTGAGACTGACCTGGAACTCACTATGTAGCCCAGGCTGGTCTCGAACTCAAAGCAATCTTCCTGCTTCAGCCTCCCAAGTGCTGGGATTACAGGCGTGCACCATTACGCCCGGCTATCATGTTCCATCTTGAGGTGCCCCTAAGAAGTCTCTACCTCCTCAGAACCAAAGGACCAATGAATGCACACAGGAGCTTTCAGAGTTAAAGCAAATAATGCAGTGTAAGCTTTTGGTGACTTACAGAAAGACAGATGATTGACCAATATTTAATTTTTAGTGTATTAATATGTAAGATAAAACCAATAGCTGTGTATTTACAGTTCATCAAAAACATCCATCTGACTTGTTTTTGTGAAGCTTAAGTATTGTCCTGGAAATAAAGCTTTTAATTTGAGAGATTATAAAAGCAATTAGTTATTGATACTAAAGTAGCAGTTTCCTTCCTTTTTCTTTCTCCCTCCCTCCCTCCCTCGTTCCCTCCCCTCCTTTCCCCTTCTCCTCCCTCCCTTCCTTCCTTTCTTCTTTCCTTCTTTCCCTCTCTCTTCCTCTCCCTGTCCCTCTTTCTCTCCCTCTTACCTCTCCCTCTCCTTTTCCTTTCTACTGTAGTACTGGTGATTGAACCTGGGGCCTCATGTATGTTAGGCAAATATTCACTACTGAGTTACACCTCCGGTCTTCTTTTTAAAAAGTATCTTTTTTGAGAGAGAGTCTCACCACATTTCCCAGGATGACCTCAAACTTGAGATCCTCCCACTGGAGCCTCACGGTAGGGGAGCTTATTAACGTGTGCTGCAACACCCAGCTTGAAATAATATTATCGTAAAACTACCCCATCTGTGTATACTTACAGAGACTTGAGCTTGACAAGATAATCAAATTGATTTGCTTGAATGTTCTGGATTGGATTGTAGGAGATATTTCTGTTTTTTAAAGAAAGACAGTAGATCATCTTCAAAAATTGCTCGAGTAATGAGTGGATCTTTGAGTTACTTTAAAACATTCACAGAAAAAAGCATAGCATGACTCAAAATGTAAAGATTTAAGTTCCAGCCTTGATACTAAAACTACTAGAATAAAACCGGGAGACAGCTTCATGACATTGGGTTGGGCAGAGTTTTTTGGTTTTGTATTGTTCTGATAAGGACCACAGAAGTGTGGGCCACAAAAGATGAAAATGAGCAGATGGAGCTCTATTAAACTAAAGAAGGTTCTGCTCAAAGAAGGAAAAGTCAGAGTGGAAAGACAGTCTGTGCAATGGGAGGACATGTTTGCAAACCTATCTGGGAAGGGGTTACTAGGCAAAATACACAAGGAGCTCAAACAACTCTAGAACAATAAACATAACCCATTGAAAATTGGGGTTGAAGGACTCAAATAGACATTTCTCAAAAGAAGACACAAATGGCCAACAGGTACATTGCAAATGCTCAATATCACTAATCATCAAGGGAATGCAAGTTAAAGCCACAGTGAGAGATCTTCACGCCTGTTAGGATGGTTTGTGACAGAGGTGAATGGCAAGAAGACCTTGTGAGGGTGTGCAGAAAAAGAAATGCTTTTATGCAATTGAACTAGTAGAATGTGGGAATACAGGGAATAGTGTAGAGGTTGATAAAAATATTAAAAACAACTATCATATGATCCAGAAAGTGCACTACTGAAGACAAAGAGTCATAAATAAGAGTGAAAGTACAACTGTATTTAAAGTGAGAAAATGTCAGATTCTTTCCCCTCCTTCCACATCTTCCATCTGCTGCTAAGATTTTGTGTGTGGGGGGTACTAGAGATTGGCCCCGGGGCCTTTGCACTGAGCTGCATCCCTAACCCTTTCTTATTTTTTTATTTTAGTTTTGAGATAAGTTCTTGCTACATTGTTAAATTGCCCAGGCTGGGCTTAAACTTTCAATCCTCCTGTCTCAACTTCCCAGTGCGCTGGGAATACAGGTGTGTGCCATCATGTCAGGCTGAGGAAGTTCTCTTTTTAAGAAATTTACTCAAGATTAGACAGTTGTGTGCGTATGTGCAGGAAAGAAACTCCCAAGGGAGCCATTGTTACAGGAAGAAAGAAAGAGGAAGAGAGATGATGAAAAGCGTCTTGTGTAAAGAAAGGAAATGGAAAGAGCAAACTAGGAATACAGAGAAACTGCCTCACATGATAGAGGCTGTATATTAAAAAACAAAGCAAAAAGACCCTGTCTAGGGTATTCTATGGTGAAAGACCCAAAGCTTTCTAAGACCAGGATGCCTGCTTTTGCCACTTCTTGTTCCGCACAGTATAGATATTCTAGCTGGAGCAATTAGGGACAGAAGAGAAAAGGCACCCAGATTAGAAGAGAAGAAAAATATCTCCATTCAGATATATATCCCTAAGATTTAACAAAAATGATAGAACTAATAAATCCAGCAAAGCTGCTGGATACAAAATTAACACCAAAGAATCTTTGTGTTTCTATATGGCAACCAATGGAAAATAGTCCCATTTACAATAGCATTTAGAAGAATAAAATAAATTAGCACTTAACAAAGAAGGAAAAAATATGTGTATTGGAAACTATGAAATACTGTTGAAAGAAATCAAGCAATCCATTTGCAGTGGTTTAAATGTCCACTCCAAACATCGGACTGAAATTTACCATTGTGATAGTGTTAAGACCTTTAAGAGTGATTAGGCCATGAGGGCTTGGATTAATGCCATTCTGGCAGGCATGGGCTCTTGGTGGAAGGGTCAGTGAGGTCCACCTTCTCCCTTCTGTCCCACACCTCAGGTCATGTGGTGCCTTCCAGTATGTTATAATGCAGCATGGAGAAGATCCTCACTAGATATGGCTCTTTGGTCTTGGACTTTGTAGCCTCCAGAACTGTGAGAGAAACTTCTGTTGTTTATAAATGAGCCAGTCCATGGTATTCTGTGACAGGGCATAAAGAAGACTGGTACAACACCACAAACGGAAAGATGTCTGTGTTTGTAGATTGGAAGACTCAATCCATACTAAAATTCACATGGAAAACCAAGGGAGCCCAAATAGCCAAGGCAATCTTGGAAAAAGTAATAAAGTTACTCATGTTGATTCCAGAATTTACTACATAGCGGTTAAGCAGTGCAGTTCTGGTGCTGTACTTCATAGCTTAGCAACACAGGACACCAAAAGGTGCCTGGTTTTTAACCTTGTTAAATCGAAGATGAAGACAGGTGGACAACAATACAGCACCCAGGATTAAACTCATGCATGATTTTCAGCAAGGGTGCCAACACTGTTCAGTAGGGGATGCTTTCAGGAAAGCTACAAGGCAATTGTATGGTTTCAATTATCTGAGGTTCTTAAGCTCATCAAATTCACGGAGATACAAAGAATGGGGTTGCCAGGGGCTGTGGGAAATGTGCGTAGGGAACTAGGGTTTGACGATTACAGAGTTTCAGCTGTGTGAAATAAAAATTCGGGAGGCAGATGGTGGCGTTGGCTGCACTACTGTGTGAATATAGTGAATAATATTCAACCGCACATTTTAAATGGTTAACTTGGTGTATATTTTAGCACAATTTGAAAAAACAACAAAGAAATGAAGTGTAAAACGAATACCAGTCTTACAATTGTGACAGCTCCTTCAGATCCTGAAATATGTGTGGTGGAAGATTTTCAATCTTATTACTTCCTAAATCCCTGCGGAAATAATGGCAAACATGTCCTATTATTTCCTGAAGACTTTATTCAGTTGTCCTGAAGTTCATCAGAAAACCATTCCGCAACACTCCCACAACACTGTCGGTGAGCTGTGGTAACTACCAGAAGCCTAAAAGGCTTTCTCATGTTGTGGGGGAAACCAGGACCTCCTGCGATGCAGCACCTCTGCCCCGTGAAGACCGAGGGGCTGAAACAGGGCGTAAGAAGGAAGACATTTAAATTCTTCATTCTGCCTCATCAGTCTCTTGGAGACAAGTACTTGATGGTATTTACTTTTAATAGAACCAATTTCCCTTCACTCCCTGCGTATCGATATGTGTGTATATATATATATGACATTCACAGGAAATTGGTGCATACCATGCACACAGTGCATCTCGATCCTTCTTCCCTTCCCTTCCCCTGCTCTCCGTCCTGTCCCCCTCATCTGTAGATTCCCTTTCTATCCCCACATAGTCTTATCTCCTTGTCCCTTGTTATATCTTTTATTTTGTTCTTTGAATTATTTATACTTTGGATTTCTCATATCAGAGAAATCATGTGACATTTAACCTTCTGTGTCCAGTTAATATGTGTGTTGTGCCCCTCCTTCCTTTCCCTTCCTTCCTTTGCTCCTTTTATGTTACACTAAATACGGCTGGAGCTTGAACTTTTTCTTCTGCTTGTATTTATTATTATTAAGTAGAAGAGTATTTTGATGTTGATGTTTCAGAGAAGAATGCAATACTGTTGTTACCTGATAAAACTTTTTGCCGGTGAAATGTATTCCCCCACCTGTCTCAGGACTTAGGAGTAGTGTCCAGGAGTTATGTTCATAATATTCTAGTTCTATTCTTTATGTCTCATGGAAAAGTCTTCACAAATTGCAGCTCTGCCCACATAGTTGTAGAAACATGTAGATTTGTCTGTTCTCCATTTACTTTCCAGAAAACTGATACTAAAGCAATAAATATCGACCTCACAGATTCCACAGTCGTTTTCTTCATGTGCCGTTGTCATAAGGGGTTGGCTCTGTGTAGAACTGTTTTAATACCCTTTGTAATTATGTCACTGATATTCAAAACAAATTTTACAGCGATTATTTTTTAACTTCTCTTTTCCATCATCATAGGCAAGGATATTATCCACAGGAGTGTCTAACTTCCTCATGGGCCTGAGTGATGTCATTTAATTTTATGGTTCCTGAATCCTAATCTTCTCAGAAACTTAAAGACAAACTTGCTGTTCTTTTGTGCAGAGTTGTATAGGATGAATTTTATTTATTCATTTTGCTGTGGTTTTATTCTTTCTCTAGTTGTTTACATTATCCTTTTTTCAAATATTTATATATTTTTGTGTTATGTTTATTTTTTCAAGCTGCCTGAATTTCATTGTAACCCATTTCATCTAAGCAATGCTTTCAAAAAGGATATTATTATTTTCTTAAAAGTTATGCACAATGGAACACTACTTTGCCATAAAAAATATAAACTTGAGTTATTCATAGGAAAATAGATGCACCTTGAGACCATAATGTTAAGTGAAATAAATCAGACACATATGCTTAAGTAATGGATAGTTTCTCTTCTATGAGCAACCCAAAATATAAATAAAGAGCAAAATAAAAGTTCGATGATAGGAAGTAAAGAGATATATATTTCTCAAATAGGAAAGGGATCAAGAAATGGAGGGAGGGTGGAGGGAAAGGAAATGAAAAAAGAAATTAAAATGTGTTTTGCACATATACCAACCCCACGTAAGAAATGTAAATATGATATATAGCAAGCTTGTGCTAATATAAAAGAAAAAATATAAACACATGTATAGCAAACTTGAAATAAAACAGTAGAAAGAAAATTCTTAACATATATTGAATCAAACTTACAGTTCATCTAGTTTCTGGAGATGTGCAAAAGTATTTTCATTTAAGTTGTTGATTTTGTTTTGTCTCAGTACCCTGAAAGAAAAGAGAAAAATATATTTTACCATCTTGAAACAGTTATTGTAGGTATTTCTGAGGAGACTAGCAGTCTCCAAAGACAAAGACACTAAATACAGAGTGCATTTTCAGGTAGAGATATTGGGAAGTAGTATGATCAATTGTCCAATGAAATTTTAATTTTAAATTTCTCAAATCTTTGTAGTGAGGATTATAATGAAATAGAATTCAAAATTGTCATAGAAATAGGGAAGAGCTTTGCAGGGAAAAGAGGGAAACCCTTAAGTCGAGGGTCCAGAGAGGGTATTTGTAGAAGGAGCTGTTGGAGACCATCGGCTCGGTCTGCACGGCCTGTCCGCCTCCACAGCATGGCTACTTACTGCGCCTCGATGGGCTCTAGGGTGGAGCTGCCTAGGGAAGACTGATCTAAGCTGGACGGGTTCCGAAATTTACTAGCCGGGGAATGTGCATCAGACCAGCTCCTAATTCCTCCCAGTATCCAAATCATTACCTCATTCTCCCAGTAAAACTGGAGGGAAAAAGCCAAAACACCTGCCAAAAGGAAGCTTAGAAGTGACTTCTTCATACGGAAGTTTCCATAAAGTTAAACACAAGCAGAGAAGAAAAGAGGTTCTAAGGTTTTCAGATGTCTGTTTAGGTGCCCTTTGGTTTTCTTTGGGCGATTCACACAAACCATTTTGTGTGACTGATGATGCAAGGTGCCCTGCATCTGAAGGAGGCCGAGTTCACTCAGTGGAAGATTTCAGACTTTTCAGGGGCTGGGAACCCATCAGGATGCAGGGCCTAATTGCAGCAAACACATCATTACATCAGTAGTAATGATTATAATGTCTATACATGCGGTCCTGTGTACCTCTAGGATGATGGCTTTCAGACTTTTCCCATGGTGTCCCCAGTAAAAAATGTGTTTTATATTGAGATATAGAATGCACACACCACCCGAGACTTATGAAAACAGCACCTTTATTATCTATGCTGTACTCTGACATAATTGTCCAATTCATTTCTCTTCATGTGAAAAACGCTGGCCACCACATGCCAGGCTGGTTGTGCTACACTGCCTAGGAGCTGTAACCAACATGTGACAAGCATTCTAGAAAAGTGGATGGGAAAATAGGGTGGGGAAGTTGGGTTTTTATACTCAGGGAAGCCCAGTGTCATTTACTCTCACAGAAAGTAAAGCAGTGGGATTTAAAATAGGCCAGAGAGAAGGGGGAAAATACTACCCCAAAACATCCCATGCTGTATCCTGGCGTCCATAATGAGGTCCTCAGGGGTGAACATTCTATGTTATTTAATTTTTTTGGACTGGTAAGTCTCAATATTTTATTAAAATGCATATTTACCCAGTCAGCCAATAATCTCTTAACTTTGTCCCTTTCACCTCCAAATATGCATTACAGCACAGGAGTGATTTCAAATATCCTTGGTTGTGGTGACCAACAAATATTTGAAAGTCAAATTTGCAACTAAAAACTAGACCTTGGGAAAATTCTGAATTAGAAAAGAAACATAAAGCTCTCCAGTGGAATTCTTCATCTGTCTGACAATTTGCAGTTTATGTGTTCTAGTTAATCTTTGCCACAATAGTTTTCAAGAAATAATGTTCCTCTGAACCAAGACGCTGATTTAGTGCTTCTTAAACTAAAGTCTGAGGGCAGATTCCAGAGCATCGATTTCTCCCTTTGAAGCAGGCCTGCATGTCCCTGAAGTTTGCGCGAAACAGGTCTCAGGTAATACAGTGCCTGTGTGCTCATCTGTGCGTCTAAATCTGAGGTTTCTCTGGGCTCGAACTTCGTGTCTTCTGGTTTTAACGAATGCGAAGCCCGAGTGGAACTTGGACACACCACGCGTGTGCGAAGGCTTAGGAGCTGAAAGCTGAGAAAATGTGGTGTTCTGGTGTGCTGAGGGCTTGGAGCCGAAGGACAGGGAGGAGCCTCAGAAGCAAGATCTCTCTATGCCGTGGTCCTCTGTCTCTGCTCCCTTTTTTCCTCAGGGTGGGCCGCAGGAGCCAGAACCTCTGCTCCCAGACCCAACCGGAGGACTGAGCAGGGTTTCTCTAGCCTCTCTCCTTTCAGGCTGGAACTGGCCCTGGAGAGCTGTCCACCTGCCTTCTCTGGAAGAAGGCCCTCTGAGCCTCATTTTTGGAAAGCCCTGCCCACCCAGAGAGAAGGGAATCCAGGCCCTCTTGCTGGGTTTCCACCCTTGCTCCATTACCCTTGGGTCTGGTCATGTTTCTACGTGGCTGTCCATTTTTCCTTGAACCTGAACACAAAAATGGACGATTTCCCCTGGGTCTTTGGATCTCTATTTCTTAGGGCTTCTGTGCCACATAAAACTTTGGTTAATTGAATCTGTTATGCTTTTCTCTGGTTACCCTGACTTTTATTATAGGAATGGGGGCAGAGAGCAGACTCTCATGGTGGGGGTTGAGGGAAATCACACTTTTCTGCCCCCCCCACACGTTTGGCTGCCTTCTGCCTACGCTAAAGATCTATTTGGTAATAAGGCGATATGACATTACTTCAAAAGCAAAATTATTACTTACAAAACAGTCAAATTACTGCAGGAAATAAAAGTCATATTTCTTAAGTTGTGGATATGGTTGCCTTCAAAGTCCCTGGAACATAAAAATAAAACATGACCAAGCTACATTGTAATCATAGACAAATAAATTAAGAATTATTTTCCTTCTATTAAAATCTATTCTTCACATTATATTTCCTTCATATGGACTAACTTGTAGCCACTTATATAACTGTACATGTATTTGTACATGGATCATATATACAGATATCATTGTGTGTATATATACACACATATATATCTTTCTGGTAATAAAAATGTTTTGGGTCCCATCTGTACCATGTGCTCATGGAGACATGTATGTTATCCTGAGAAAGAGGAGAATGAGAAGTCAAGCTAAGAACCTCTGTTATGGTGAATACCTAACCTATGCATAGATACTTAACAGAGAAGCGTACTGAGGATCTGTCCAGAATTCCCCTGGCTCTTCCCTGCATGTTACGACCCCATCTTGTTGCAGACTTCACACAGTTTCATTATTGCTGCAGATCTGCTACTGTTAAGACAGTATTTAGCTCCTGGCTCCGTAGGCAAAATACTTCCCAGAAAAGGACTCTTAATTGTCTTTTACCACGGGGCAGCTTTGCTGCCTTCACGGCGTCGCAACGTCCAGTGCAGAGCAAACGGCAGCTCGTCCTAAGCTCTCCCCTCTCAGCTCCGGGAGCTGCACCTAGAGCCTCTGCTGTGTGCCTGTGTCCCCACAAGGAGGCTGGGTCTGAGCATCCACATTTATCCAGAGTATCATTTATGTGTTTAATTTTACTTTCTGCAGTGCTGGAGCGCCCATTCAGGGACTCTTGCCCTCCAGGCAAATACTCTACTGCTGGGTTACATCCTCAGCCCCTTCTCTTAAGTAGGAAAATGGTCCAAGTTTGTAAACCAGAGGAAGAGCATTCTTTGAGGTCTAGTGACACACTGAACTTTCAAAAGTAAACACTGGCCCTGAAATCTACACAGCGTGCCCAGGCTTAGTTTATGAGCTGCCACGTAGCACTAAGCTATTGAGGAAAAACTGTGACCCCAGCATAGGAGCAGAAGTGTGGCTCCTGGATGCTGAGGGAAACACGGTAGCACTGACAAATGCCTGTGTTCTGCCGGCTGGGGTGCACACGGCACAGGCAGTTTTATTTTGGATCCTGCATTAGACACTGACCAGGCAAACTAGATCTGGAAGGTCTGGAAGACCAGGATAAAGGGATCTAAGGAAAAGATATATTTAAGAGAGAGAGAGAGAAAGAAACAGTGGAGAGAGAGAGGGAGAGAGAGAGAGAGAGAGAGTTTGCCTATGTTTCATCAGAGTATAAAATTAGATTTTCCAGGTGAAAGACACGAACTATTTCAAAGTGAGGCCCAACCCCCCTAGCAAACTACGGTGTCCAGAGAATTACCTTCCTATGACTGTAAGCATTTGACAGAGGTGATAGACCATATCTTGATAATTTTGTAGATAAGATTTGTATAGTAAATGGGATGGCCAAGTAGAATAAGAACTGTATTCTAGATCACCCTCCTGAAGAAACATTTTTGTTATTTTATGAAATGGGAGCCGGGGTTGGGGATTTAGCTCAGTGGCACCGCGCCTGCCTCACAAGCACAAAGTCCTGAGTTTGATCCTCAGGACGGACCAAAAAAACAGGGAGCTGAGCGCTTATACCAGTACTTGTAAGAGCTTTTGGTCTCCGGAGACTGACTTTGATGTTATTGTTAGCAGTTACCAGAAACCTACCACCAGGTGGCGATCCTCTCTCAAGCTTCACAGAACACTCAAAAGTTTAGCTACTTTGCTAGTAAGCTGCAAAAATATTTATTAGCACTAACTCGCTGATTTATGCAAATCAGTAGGAGGCACAAATTAGGGTTTTTGGATTAAATTTGTTGCTTGTTTTGAGTTCACTTTAACTTTTAGTTGTGAATTTTCTTTGACTTTCTAAAATTAAGTATAAATCTTTGATGCACAGGAGTTTGGTTTTCAGAACACGTGGTAACCAAGGAAATAGTGACAGCAACAACAACAACAACAAATCCAACGCCACTCTGCTTCTTCTTCTCCAGCTCCTGGCTCTAGAGGACAGTGTGTTTTTCCTGCTGCGTGTCTAGACCACCACCTTTCTCACTTGCAAGCATCTGGACTTAATCATTTTATTTTTCCTTTCTACATGGCAGAACTGAAAATGAAATTTTCAATGAAGCAAAAATAAAAGCCATCAGAGACATGGGCCATTCCACTCAACTTCCTAGCTTTCTCCTAATGTCATTTTGAAATGACAAATTTTCACCCCCCCACCTGCTTCCTTCCCTATCTTTAAACACGCTGGCTCCTACTTCATACGAAAAATTGAGATGGTGAAGGAGCAAAAGCTCTCGATGTTTGGGCCCGGCTGCAAACTCACCTGTCCAGGCAGCTTGGCTCCTGGTGTCAGAGGAGAGGTGGCCCTCCTCCTGAGCTAGGCCATGCTCTCCGTCTGTTCTTGAGTTTGGTTTGTGTATGTATGTGCCCTAAAATATATGGTCAGTTTTAGTGAATATGCTTTGCTTTCAAGATTAAATCTATTAGGGTTAGTTGCAGGTACAGAGAACAGAAGAAACCTCACCAGACTAGCACAATACACTGGAATTAAGCAGTCCAGGGATGGGATGGCAGTTTTACAAAATTGTTACAAGCCCAGGGTTTTTTTTTTTTTTTTTTTTTTTTTTTTT